CTTGTCACTGTAAAGTGGGCAGTTGGTTTCAGGTCAGTGTTGTCTGCTATCTTAAATTAAATGCCCTGAAAAAGTAAGACTATGTATGATAGCTGTCTCTCTGGGATGGTTACTGTAAGTACCTGCTTACCTATGGCCCCATGCCTTACCAGGCAGGCAAGCACGTGGCATATTAGTGTACGTGGAGGGTTTGCTTGCACTGTACATACGTGATTCTTCGAAGAATGGTAAATAGGGACATTATGTAAGCACTGTTCCTTGGAATGAGATCACTTGAAATTCCATTCATTGATGGATTTTTAATGTAAGGAGTATGTATTTATGGAAGCAAGATGGTTTGTAGGTCATTACATTGGTTGATTTATGGTGCTGGATAGTTGGACTGTAAGCAGATCAAAATCAGTGCAGTTTAGAAGATCTTGCATCTTCCAGTATCACTAGCTATTTCCAATTTGTTTGGATATATATAATAAAGGACCAGAAGTGAACATTTATCTGAGGATTAGGCAGGTTTGCTATAGGATGAGAAAACTAATGTATTGGGGGAGATTTTCAAAGGCTAATGGAAGTAGCCTTTAGAAAGGCATTAGAAATCTCCTTAGTATATTTGGCAGAACTGCACAAATTTATGTTAATATCAGACAAATAGCAATAGATACTACCAGTAACATCTAAGAACGACAGTAATAAGTGTGCTAGAAATACACAGACCTGTGTGCGTACAGGTGCACACCCTTAGATTTTAAAGCTTCTAAATTCACATGACACTTGTACTGTTTTTGTTTGGCAATATTCCTTTAAATGTAAATATAATCCCTCCCTTCCTCCCTTAACTAACCCACACACTTCTTGCAATTTAATAAACAATGTTCCTCTGGGGCAGGAGACGTGCGCTGTGCTTCTCGGCTGTGCATCTCCTGTAGCATCAGTGAACTGAGACTTACTGATTTGAAGAGAGAAATTGGCCCAAAAGGAGATAGCTACGAGAATCAGGTCTCTATCCCTCAGCAGCCTCACTTCGTCAGCCTGTGTTTTGTGGGGTTTGCACTCATTCTTAAGATTATACTGGAAAGAAAAAAATGCTGTAGCACCCACCCCACTCCAATTCCACCACTGCACGCCCCAGAACTGTCTGCAGTTGGATCCCCGCCACAATCCACGTGCATTACAGGAAGTTTGCTGTAGTTTGTTCAGCCCCCACTGAAGGGGGCCCCTGACGTAGGAATTTAAAATGATTCATTTGTTGGGCACTCAAGCCCTAGGCTTCAGCTTACAGCTCGCTAGTGTATTCTGCCAAACTGCTCTTTAATATGTAATGGTTCTTGAAGTCAAACGCTGTGTTCTGTCTTATCTCTCTTGGAACAAACCTGCTGCCTACCTAGATTTATTTCCCATTTCTGGTATTTTTATAATTCCACTACTATTGATATATGACTGTGTCTATCAACATAAGATGATATACAGATTATATGTATATGTAGTTATAAATTCTTTGAGGCGGGGGGACTGCACCTTCTAATGTGTCTGCAGGACACCTACCTCAGTCTTAACTGAGGCCTCTGAGTGCTAAAAAATTGATTAGCTAATTCTAGCTAGCTGACCTACCATCTACTTCCGTCTCTAACTTCTTCTGATGTTCATGCTGATTCAAATCTTTTTCAAAGCCCGTTTTTTCCTAGAGATGCACAATAGTCTTGCTACAACATGCATGATTGTATGAACCACTTTACCGTACAGTGTCTGCTCACTAAGGACTGAACCGAGGCCAAACAATGTCACTTGATTTCACTCTGTGATCTTTCAACTTGGGTCTTAAACATTTTGCAGACTCCATTTTGCTCTAACTTTGTCCGTGGTATTAGAGAGGACGTGGCATCTGGCTTTATTCACAACTGTTTAGGACAAGAGATGAAGGTTATTCATGTTCAATTTAGTTTTACTAGCTGGTGACAATCTCCTTTTACTCAACTCCGGTGCAGTACTTAGAGAAATACAGGTTCCCAGCATATTGAGAATTCAGAGCACTTACATACGCTGTGTTTGGAATATATCTGCAGATTAGTATTTCCTACAGGCGACATACAACTTTGCCAGTGGGCTCCTGAAAGCTCGAGGATTTTGTGGAGACTAGTCTGTTTCCATCAGCCTTTCATTCATAATTCCATTATGGCCATCAAGTCATTATTCCCACTGGCTCTGTACTTTCTGTTAACAAACAAGTAAGGAAAACCTGCAAAATTCTATTTGCCCCAGGAGAATTAAATACCATTCCTTTATTATTATTATTCATGAGGAGTAGAGTGCATGAGCAGATGTGTGTCAGGGCTAGTCAGTTTTGAAAGGCTGGATATGTTCAAGTGTTGCAAGCTCCTCCATTCACGTACCCTCACTCTGTTCCGTCCCTGCCAGATACTTGGAAGGTCTCCTGCTCCATTGTACTTCCTGTCTTCAGATGACTTACTCCAGTATCTAGTCACAATGCCAAAGTTCGTTATTTGTAAA